GAACGGTTTTAACAGACTCTCGTAAAAGAGAAATTTACGAATTAGCTGAAACAATATCATCAGCATACTTGCTGAAGTGCATTCTAAGAGAATATTGTTATGTCAATATTAAGTATTATTCTATTCGTCTTCTAATACGCTCGAAGAAATGATCTGACTATCGGTAAACACTTGTTAAATTAATTGTATGAAGATTCTTACTGCGAAAAATGTTATAAAACATATTCAAAATTTAGAGCAGAATTTTTAATAAATAATTATTTTTAATTGTTTCTAATTAACACCTTCGTGTCGTCTATAATATCGTTATCATTTATTATTATTACATGTTTATATTTCTATCATGAAGATTGTCAATGAATGTCTAGCAAAAAAGTGACAATATCATTTGCGTGACTTTTTCATTTGATTTCTTTCATATTCGGTATTACAGATATGAGAAAATCAAAAATTATTTTTACAAAATATATTCAAATATAAAATAAACATTTCCTGGAAAATCAGAAATGTAGATTAAATTATTTCTGACATTGTTTAAATGATTTTTAATTGAATAAAAATTTGCCCAAATTATTCGGATGCGTGTAGTCGATGCCTCGGATCGAATCAAATAATTTTGGTTGAGCACATACAAACAATCCTGTAACTCGCCTATTTCGCTAGTTTACCATTTCATCGAGTCGACGGACAGAATAGTAACAGAAACATGGCAACCATGTCAAACATTCAGGTTTCGGCAACTATGTTTTCATTAGGAAAATGCGAAACTTGCCTGTGTCCCTTTAACTTGCTTTTCATTTGTCATTCCGCACAATGACGAAGGCAAAGACTGACTGCTTCCTCGATTTCGATGATTATTGAATGTGTTGTGGAAATCGACAGTGAGGAAATAATTTCGAATATTTTGTTCTTCTAACGGGGATGATGGTCTTTGTGAGAAAGTTTATGTAATTTCTATAATTGACTTCTAAATGATATTTAAGGATCGTCCAAATTGGTGAACGAGTGATTGATTTACAAGTTCACCGGCAATCAGAGAGGGACAATTGGAGCAAAAAAGAAATGAGTAATATAACTCGTATAATCTTAATACTAACGTATATCATTAAATCATTCATACTTAGTATCATTTTTATTAATATTTAACATTTTCACTCCACACTCAGTGAATTCGTCTTGACAAACAACATCGTACTACTAAGAAAGAAAATATGCGCATGCTATCGTTATTTAGGAAAATAAATGTGACTTTGAAATTTCAAAACGGGACGGTTTGCAAAGAATAATTCAACGATTTAATAAATACATAATCACAGACGAGGTATATGAACATATCTCGCTCGTGACATAATTTTCGAGGTAGATGTGGTAACACTGTGCATATTTTTAATTCTCATCACTAGTAGTGCTACGATGTACAAAATATCGGTACGAGACGATGTGACACGAAAATGGTAAAGAGGGTCCCGAAAATGTGGGACAAAAAAAAATATATCGTATTTTAGTTTATACATACTATTCGTATATTTCGTCTGTTGTCCAAATTTATACGGTATATCAATATGAGTTGCCCGTATAAATTGATAACACGTTGATAACATGTAGATTTTTATTTATGTCGTAATTCTCCAAAATTAGTTTGTCTATGACTTTCGATTAACTCAGTTGAGATCTACGATATTCCACATATTTTATATTACAAGTCCAAATTTGTCAATTCCAATTAACACGATAGAAATTAATAAAAATTATTTGACTTTAAAGAACTAATTATTATTTGGCAAAAATTAACTAAATCGAGATAAAGATTAGATATTGAAAGAGAACTGGAGGTGTTACTAATGAAAAAAATCATCAACAATGGATTTTACAACATTTATAACAAAAAGTGCGGACAGACGAAAACCAAGTATCATTCGTTCGTATGGTAAGAATACATAATTTTTACATTTAACTTGTTTCTAACATTCTTCTTACCGCTGTCACATAAACACTATTTACGATTCCCCTTTCATAAAACCACATCTGTTCGATATTTTTTGAAAGTAACAAAAGCAATTTTTGTGGATAACTAGCAAAAAAATTTGCGGAATATAAAAATGCTCTAAATCTAGCCAATGGAATGCCAAATGAGACGACGTTTCCTTTCGAAGAGATATCCGTAACATATAGAGGTGGAACAAAAATAAAATTAACTGGAGAAGAGCTATCATGGTCTCTTCAATATGGTCCTTCTCGAGGGTAATTTTTGAAAAAAAAAAAAAAA